GGCTGCAAGAGGTGGTGTAGGAATACCCGGAGGAGCAAACTGGGACTGCTTAAGGAGCAAACATCTTTCTCAGCAGCCTCTGGCAGGCAGAGCAGCTCCAGTCGCCCCCAGCTCCTGCCTCCCTTCACCTGTGATGATGGGAACTTATTTTCTGGGAAAACAGCTTGTTTCTTGGGTTGTCTTTTTGTGCGTTTGCCAGCAATATTGTATTTTTACTTTATTCTCAGTATCTGTAGGTGAGAGAAATATGTTCCCCCCTGCTCCCACCCGTATGAGGCATATTCTTCCAAAGACAATCCAAATTGCAGGCAGGGGGCAGGGTATGTGTAAAAGTGGGCAAGCTGTTCACTCCTCACAATAATTAGAGAGTGTTTGGATGCCAAGGAAAGAGAAGAAAAGAGTTGCACCTGCCTGCATTTCCCAGCCCCCCCTTTGTGCCTGCTCAGCTCTTTGCTTTTCCTAAGGCTTGGGCTGCACTGGCCAAAGCCAAGGCGCTCTGTGGGGTATGGAGGAGGATGCTGAGCTACAGGATCCATCAGCCAAATATCCCTGACCTGGGGGAGAGCTGCACAAATATACGGTACCACGCAAGCCTCTAACAAAGAGGAGTTATTCCCTCCTAGACACATAGAGAGCTCCTGGAAAACTTTGTAAAGGTCTATTTCTCTACACTGTTTTGCATTGCTGCTGTCACACAGTCCCCTTTACCTGCAGGACCTGTCTGCAGAAGATGCTGTTATCATGGGGCCCTCAAAGTTCAAACCCTTCATCATCTCTTGACCTACTGCAGATGAGGCACTCGGCTTTTCCACATCTCCCCAGTAATGTACTTCAGCCAGGTCAGAGCACTGTCTTGACGATTCCTGGTATCACTGCAGCACAGAGATGAAGTGCTCTTTGTGCCAGGCTCCTGTGCTAAGAGCTTAAGGTGTAAGATGAATACTGTTCAGCCCCTTGCTGTGTTTGTGTTTGAGCTCACCAAACCCAAACCATTTTGGAGAAGCAATTGGGGAAAAGGGTGTGAGACAGGGCAAACCAAGAGAAAGGGTCAGTTTGTCCTACTTCATGATTACTTCTTGATATAGCAGGGTCCCATCTCTGCTCTGTGCTTCCCGGTACTGAAATCACAGGACCTTTACAACCTGGGGTCTAGAGTGCTTCTTTCCTTTCCAGTTACCTCGTGCATGCTGGAATGCTGTATGAAACAAGCTGCCTGTTGTTTCTACAGAACTCATCTGACCCTGTGTCCTGGGTTTAGCCATCTCTGCCATGGCACTGCTTGGCAGTACTCCTTTGGAGAAACTACAGCAACAAACTCAGATACGAGGGCTTGGAGATAAGCAACCAGCAAACATTCAATTTCCAGTGCACCCACAACACTGGGAATCCCTAATGAACCAGGGTGAAAAACAGGACAAGTAAGTAACAAAACAGAATAGATTTCCAATAAGGGCACAGCAAGTTCTAGCAGGCAGATCTAGCAGATAGGCAAGGAGAGAGAACAGAAGCCAGAAAAGAAGATGGGAGGAAAGCAAAGGGATCGCAGCAGCCTGTCCGATGGGGGAGGAAGCCTCAGAAGCTTTTCATTTCCTTTATTATTATATAGATAGTGCCAGCTCATTGCAGAGCAACAATTCATCCAGCCTGGTAACCTACAGCCCGGTGCTGGATGTTTCTGGACATGGCTCCTGACCTTTAAACACTTCTTGCCTGCAGCACCCAATATAATATAACAATGAAACAATGACAAACATCACTGCATTTCACTTATGATTTCAGGCAGGTGTTTGTTTTGCTGTAACGCAGTGGACAGTGGCACAGAAAGCCCTTGTGCCATTTGTGCACTACGAGTGCACCCCACATTTCTTAAAATGATTTGTTTTCCCACACCGCCGTAGCGAGTTCCTCAAGTTAATGCAAACCCTACTCTCTGCATTTGCTCCTCTCATCCCCTAAGTTTCCAGCAGCCTTCAGAGATGTGGTTTATGGACTATGGAGGGTGCTGTTTATCTCCTCAGAATTAGGGGCTGCATTAGCCCCTACCATACAGGGCACTTGCAGGCAAACACCCACCATGGAAGTGATCGGGAAGGGGTAATCACAAAGCCCCAGATGCAGCCCATGGATTGAGCTCTCTTACCCTGCTCCATCACTACCAGCCAACTGGTCCCTGCTCACCCTCTCCCATCCCGCGGAGAGGTCCTTGCCCCACCACCCTTAAGACTGGTCCTTCACCTATCAGCCCCGCGGGCTGGTGCCCTCTCCACCACGCCCAGCTGGACCAGCACCCAACATTTTGGGCTGCAAGTTGCCCCATCAGCCACGGCCAGCAGACTGCCTGCACACATCCCGCTTAAACACCAGCTCCATCAGCACTGCCAGAGCCCACACCCCTCTCTCCAGACCAGTATTTGCTCCAGCATCCCTACCCAGACCTGCACCTTATGGAGCATCCCTACCCGGACCGGCACCTCAACGTCTCTAACGGGACCGGTACCAGCTCCCGCACCCTTGCCCGGACCGCGGCCCCGCGCCCCGTCCTGCCCGGCGGCGGGGCGGTCCCGCCCGAGGCTGCGCCGGCTCCGCTGCACTACGCGGGAGCGGAGCGAGCTCCTTCCACTTCGGCACGGCAAGAACCGGAGAGCCGGAGACAAAGAAACTGTCCGGGCGCCCGCCCCCTTCTTCTCCTCCACCACCGCCGCCACCACCACTGCCGCCTCCCCGCCGCCGCCTCCGGCACCCCTCTCATCCGCGCCTTTCCGCCCCCCTCCGCGCCGGGGAAGGGGGTATTTATTTACCCGCTCTCCTCCTCGATCTCAGAGATATCGGCGAAGATGAGGAACCCCACCAGCAGCGTGAGCAACGCCAGCGTCCAGCCCCGGCACGGCAGCGGCATGGCTCCCGGGCTGGGCTGGGCTGGGCTGGGCTGAGCCGAGCCGGGCCGCTCCGCGGGGTGCGGAACGCGGAGCCGCGTCCCGGCTCAGCGCCGCCGCCGCCGCCCGGCGGGGCCGCTCCGCCCCCCGGCGCCCGCGGAGCGCCCGTCCCGCCCCTCCCGGCGCGGGGAGGGGGCTCGGGGCGGGCTCTGCCCTCACCGCCCCCCGCAGACAAAGTTTGCGGCGCGTCCCCCCCAGGGCACACGCGGGGGACGCTCGGGACCTGCCGGCTGCGCGGCCGCGGAGCATCCCCCCCCTTGCGGCGGGGTCAGGGTGAGGGGTTTGGGGGTGGGGGGGGTGGGGGGAGGTTTCTCACCGAAAGGACGAAAACTGTCATCAATCAGACAAAGCCAACTGCTGCTCGCGGGGGTGGTGGCGGCGGCACCTTGTCCTCCCTTGAAAGGTGTGCACAGTAAAGCGGACCTTTTGGGATGGAAAACACTGTAAAAGGAGAGGATGATCACTATGACTATCAATCACCATTAATTACCTCCATCACTATTAATTCCTATTTCAGTAACAATAATTCTTTGCTCTACTATAAATACAAACCATGACATCCATACGGGTCTGGCCACATCTCTTTAAATCTCCCTGGAGTTTGAACAGGCAGGATTTATTTCAGCCCTAGGTGCACAAGGGGCTCTGCTATTGAAACACTGGGATGAGTCTCTGCCACACTCACAGCCCCTGTGAGCAGCCTCCTGCAGCCTTTGTCATGGAGAGAAAAGGCTGCATCTTCTAACTAGAAAGGTAGATGAAAGTGGAGGAAAGTTGGGAAGAAGGAGAAAGGGATTGGCTGGATCCAAGAACAGCCAAAAAAAAGCCTAAGAGGTCATACCCCTGTTATCTTAGTCTAGGGCCAGCCTTGGAGAGGAGCATCCCACTGTGCTGGGGTGAGTCAAGGCCAGCCTGGCCGAGAGTCTCCAAATGCAAGCATAATCCCTTCAGACCAGAAAGTTGCTGATAATGGCAATATCTGGCGATACACACACCAGCGGGCTGTCGAGGGACGAGGGACGCGGTGGATTTATAATGCAGCAGATAGAAGAAGCACAGATGTGTTGAGAGAGAGAGATACTAATTGCTTACATATTTAAAACAGCATCTTTAGTCTGAATGGGAGGCACCATTAAGCAAAACAGAGCTATTAACTGGGGCCACTTGGAAAGCTGCCACCTTCCCTTCAGTGCACGGCGCTTTGCATCAATACAAAAGTATGTTGCTCAGGGCGTGAAACACTGTCAATGTGTGATTCCTACCGAGGATGCTGAGGTGCTCTGCACAGGAGCGTGTCCATTAGTATGGGAAGGTGTAACTAACTCCTGTTGTGTGTTGTGTATTGTGTATGGGAAGGCATGCTCAACAAAAGACTTTTCTCTTTATCTGGATTAAATGGTGGAAGGTACTTTCCTGGAAATTCTGAAACTCGTGTAGAAAGAGACAAACAAATCACCATTACATTTATAGGTAAAAAAATACAACATAGTTGAGTCTGGTACAATTACACTGTAGTGTGTATGGCAAATTTACAATCCCATACACGGCTTTTGTAATAGAGCACATTCAGGCCTCTGGGGAGAAAGCGATTTTAGGTGGTGTAAGTAGCCCCATAATTTACCTTCCTCATAAGCCTGAGAAAAGTCTCATTTTTTCCTTCTATTCTTCTTGGGCTCCTTTTGCTCATGCTGTTTCTAGAGTTTCACAGCAGTGTGACTGGCCTGAGGATGAGGAAACCTCAGGCTTTGAGGTGAGCTTGCTGGTACAGAGATGGACATAGGGGTTTCCCGAGATGCAGGCATCCACAGGAATACAGATGGAGATACCTACTCCTACATCTCTTTCAGCTCCATCCCAGGTGATGTTTTGGCTTCTTTTGTCTTTCTGTTCCAGTCACCAATCACGATGGTGACGTGAAAGAGCAGAAATCTGTGCAGTAAGTGAGGGGTTTGGTCAGTGTGTGGTGGGAGTTGCTTTGCCTGGATGAGGACTCTCTCAGAGGCAGGGACGTCCTGTCTGCTGAGGAGTAGCTTGTCTTAAAAGACATGCTGGGATTTGACTCTGCTCCTGCATAAGTCAATGGAAATGCTGCTGTTCACTGAAATGAAATAAAACCCCTCCTTGCAGGGTAAGCTGGGAGTTAAGCTTCATGCCCTTCACTGGAGAGCTCTGCTGCTAGGGGCTTGCACAAAGAGCTCTCTGAATCCTCTACTTGGTGTCATCTGTTGCTGTATTCCTCTGAAAGATGTAGGTCAGAGAAAAAGGTCATTCTTCAGCTGATCAGGCTTCAAACACAGGGACCAGGACCTTGAAGAACAGCTGGTTGTGAGTGAGGAGGCAGCAAGCAATATAGGGGATGCAGGAATAGAGCAGCTTGCTGAATTATTGTGTAATCAATTAACGAGGCTGTATAACATCACCAAGTGCGACTCTGAGATGAAAACCTACAGATCTTGTTGTACTAAGCTCTGCATGATCAGGAGTCTTACTGTAGTGGTAGAAAGAAATGAATATAATAGGTACTGACTGCAGGAGAGGACATTTTATTCTGCATTCACTCCAAGTCCATCCTTTACAGCATCCTGGCCAGATCTGGGGAGGAAATAATGTACCCTCGTTTCATGTGTTGCTCGTTATCCTGAAGAACTGCAAAACTGCTCTGGAGAAATTGCTGTAGTTCCTCAAGTGTTAGTCGTCCTGCACATCCCATTCGCTATGAATCTTCACATGATTCAGATTTAAACAGGTGCGTAAATGTTGCAGGATTGGGTCTGTAAGCATCCAGAGCCTCAACTTTATGTCTCATTTGTAAGATGGGTTGCAGGAAGATGAGAGCAAACTGTCGCAAATAGACTGTTGTGCTAGAGTAATACGTCCTGAAACAGAATAAAAGGCTATTATATCTTCTAGTTCCTAATAATTTGAGGAAATAATTCTGTATCCAGAACATTTGCAGTAAATACAATAACGTGTAGTTAAAAAAAAATATCTTGGCATAAAGGCAAAAGTAAGTGCACCAGGACAATATTGCATGTTGCTGCTTTGAAGGGGGAAGAGAAAAGAAATGGCATTTTACATTTTCTTTTTGACCTTTGAGAAATATCAGGAATATGTAATAGCCACATTCACCAACAATAGCTCAGAGGATTCAGAGAATAAGAGTTAAACACCTTGGGACATTTACAAACAACTGGCAGAGAGGTGATGAATTTAAGATGTGGGTATGAAAGGCACAGATACACAGGGAGTGCAAAAATAATACATATTTAAAATGCTTTTAACCTATTTTAGAAGCATTATTGAGAAAGGCAGTGGCTCCTGAACAAGCAAAGGAGGGACAGAGAAGATGACCCATGAGGTCTTTGTTGTACTATGACGAATGAGAAGGCTTGGTGCAGCGAGAGGTCTCAGGGGACCTTTCTCCATCAAATTCGTAACACCATAATAAACACATGGCCTTCCTCATACCTGTCAGCCCAAATGAACAAAGTTTACAGCCCATTTTATACAGCTGAACAGTACTCTGATGAATGGGCATGACGAATGGGAGCCTCTATTAACCAGGTTGTCATGTTTCACTGCCTCATATTGGCAACGAACCTGCTTCTAGGTGCTTTCTCCAGTGAAACCTTCAGTCTCTCCCATGAAAGTCAGGCCACTCTTGAGGGGCGTGAAGTGTCTTTTCCTCCACAGTTAAGTTCATTAGGAGGAAAGAAGGATGCTGATTCAGTAGGTTTGATGCCCTCCATTTTCTCCTGAATGCTCTTGGTGGTTTCTGTGCAGAACAAGGGATTGGAGTTTAACAATCCAGCATCTTTGCTCACAGATGGAGAAACACTGGTATCACCAAGCACCTTCCAGAGCTGTCAGTCTCCTCACCTGGCTTTATTTACCCTTGGGTAGATGTTTTCCAGCTGGATCCCAATGCAGTTACGTCCATTACTAGAATGCATTCACCTGCTTCCTGTAGAGGTCTTACTAAAGGACTCCCATATAGAACCATAGAATGGTTTTGGTTGGAAAGGACCTTAAGATCATCTAGTTCCAACCCCCTGCCAATGCTGGACAAATTGTCATGGCAGAGGGATATGAATATGGTTTCTTTTTGAGGAGGAGACAGCACTGTGATGTAGCCTTAGCACAGGCATTTAGACATCGGATTTAGCCACATTAGAGGGGTCTGCAATATTTTGTGATCTGTCCCCTGTTGAACTGAGTGAAGAAGCCTCCCTGCTCCTCAGGCTGGAAAGGAGAGCCTTTACTTCCTTGGAAAAAGGGCCAAAACTCTCCTGATTTTCTATTTTCAGGGATTTTTGCCATAGGAAGGAAGACTTCAAGTCTATCATCTTCTTTATACCCAGAATGGTGTAGCACCAACAAGAAAGCTATGGGGGCTCACAAGGAAGGCAGAAGAAAATTAAACTGTATTAATTTCAAGCTCTATTAGGATTTTAAGAAAGTAAAATCAATAGAAAAGGATGGACTCAGTAGGGAGTGTGACCTTATTTTCCCAGTGTCTGAAGGGGAAATGCACATAATAGAGAGACAAAAATACATCTATAAGACCAGATCAGTTCCTTTGATGTTGAAGAAGAGAAGTTAAAGCACTTACGTAAACTGGCATCATTTGACTGGCATTTAGAAATGTCCTAAACAGAAAAAGAGAAAAAGCAAAGAAACCCACACCCAAACATCCCCAAACCCAACCCCATCCATTAAGTTCTATTGCTTTCTCTCCTGCAGTAATTTGCAAAGATGGTGTGGTTCATGCAACATTTCATCAAATACAACTTGCCATTGTCAGAGCAAAATGTTTGATATAAAACAAGAACGATCTTACTTTCTCTTTGGTCAGATAAGCTGGTTTGGATTAATAAAAATGCCACATTCACAATGATCTCGACCATTTGCATGTGAAAAGCCTTCCACCTGGTAATGAAAACAGTTCTTCAGTTTTGCCACCACTAGTCACAAGAGATAAGGTCTGCCATCCTCCCCCTTGCAATTAACCACGCACCCACAGAAAAGGGGAAAGGCAGAAAAAAAGGGAAAAGCTGGAATGTTTGTGACAATTGCAAAGTGCCTCTGAGCTCAACCTGACGTTAACGTATTGATGCTTTCAGCTGCACAGCTTCTACAGCCTGGCCCTGTGTGTGTGACAAGCGGGCACTTACAGGTTGGGAAGGCAGAGCTGAGCATGTGCTTATATGATGTTTTTACACCGTATTAATGGTATTTTGGGGGAAAAACCCTGAAACAAGTTTTCTCACCACCACCCTTTGTGATTAGGAAGCCACTGGGTGGCAGTGCTGTGTGTGTGCATGTGTATCTATATACACATAAGGGGGGAGACCCTTTTTTGTGGAGGTGTCTCAAACCTGGGTATGTTTTGCTCATCCTTGATATGCTGAAGGCCACTGCAGTGCCCAAGGCTGTAGGCAGGAGAAGAAAGGGCTAAAAGATGCTTCAACTTCAAAGAGCATAGATGAGGCTGTATTTCCATTGACTTGTGTGAAACTCCATAGCCAAAAGTGAGTGCCCAAGGGTCAATCCCAGTGTCCAGGCTGATCCAAGCTGTCCCAGCCTTGCCTCCAAGCCTGCACTTGCAGCAATTTTCTCACACATTCATCAGAACAACAAAGCAGCTGTTTGCTGATAGACATGAATCAGAAACAGCACAAGATACCTGCCCTGTTCCCTGCCTCTACCCTAATCCACACACTTTGCCCTTGTTCTTCCTATCCCATAGAGAAATAATTGACCCAGCAAGGCCACATTTTCACTGACTGAGAACAGGCACATGTGCTCAGTGTATGTACGAAGCATTTCTTGTGTATAGCTAGCAATGATTTGAACTTAACAACTCACCCCTCCAAGATAATTCCAAACTGAGAAGTATTTCTCACTTGTAATGATAGACTTTAAGTGTCTGATAAACAGATACAGGCTTCAGATGCCAAACTAAGACCTCATCTGGTTTTGAATTCTGTCTCTTATCTCAGTTCAAAGCTGCTGAGATGTGGCATGTCTTTGAGGTTTGTTTCTGCAGTACACCTTCATCACAGTACTTCCTTCTGCATTTCATGGCCTTTAAAGCACAGGTCATGTTTGACTCTGGTTTTGTCCTGTTTCAAGTTGGCAGGTTTGATTAATCTTGTCCTATACTTGACAGAAACCCAATTACTCTGCACAACTGTGTCAAGGAGGTCAGTCTACCTAGTTTGGATAAACAATGCTATATGTTGGATGAAGAAATAAACTGTGTATGGGCACCACAGAGTATGGGAGGGGGTCTCTTGCAGTATTAGCTTGCAACTTCAGAGTGTTTCTGCCTGTGAGAAATCAGAGGTGATGAACAAGAATAGATAAAGAAGAGGAAATCTTTATAAGCCTCCTTTGGGGGCCATCCAAGACAGAGCTTCTAACCACTTGAAGAGGTGTCCCTGCCAATGGCAGGGGGGTTAGAACTGGGTTATCTTAAGGTCCTTTCCAACCCTAACTATTCTATGATTCTATGAGCACACCTGAGTAAACCTGCAAGAAGGCTGGCTTGCTTTGCCTTGTGGTCTGCTTACAGTCCTTTGGAAAAGTTTGATGTAAATCTTTGCAAAACAAGAAGATTCCATCAGCAATTAAAACAACCAAGAAAAGAAAAGAAAATTGTGTGCACACACAGTCCTTTGGGAATGAGAACTTTCCTGCAAGGAAAACGGAGGTTCAACAGTATGTTCCATTTAACAAAAATGGGAAAATCTTAAGGGGCAACATAAAGAATGTAACTTTTTATTCCCTCCACTTCATGCTAGCAGCTAAAAAAAATGCTGTGCAAAGGGCTTTTAATACAAAACCTTGTTTCAGTTCTGGAAAAGAACTTTACTTTTGTCTACAGTCACTGTTGTTTTGGCCCCCATCAATAATAAATGCTTTTTTCTCCTCTTCCATTCTAATAGTTCTCATCCTTTATGTCTTTTGTGGTGAGTGAATGGTTTAGGCTTTAGAATGAAGGAAATTTTGAAAGAATAAAGTATGGCAGAGCGATTTCTCCCTAAGAGCTCTAGCCAGAAGCAGCAGGGAGAGCATGGTCTCCAGGTTACTTCTCCTGCAGGAGCAAGAGCGCAACTTCTTTGCCCAGAGCTTGCTTCTTGATGCCCAACACTGGGAAAAAATCATCTACATTTGATCCAAAAAAACCCCCATTTAAGGCATTGCAAACACCCCAATCCCAGAAGGAACAGCGTATTTTCAACATCATACTCCCCTTCTGGATCCCAAATTAATGTTTTTGAATACATGACCCTGGTTAAGCAGCACCACACACCTGAAACCCCACCTCTCCGGAAATCTGATTTGTTAGTCCAGTGAGCATGTTCCTAGGGAAGGAAAACTTCAGTGCAGCTTGTGCCTAGGTGTGATTTTCGCTCTGATCTTAGACCATTAATGTCCTCTGTGGTGAGGAATATGAATGATTGATCTGCTGCTGGATCACACCTAACACAGCAGAAGGGGGAGATTGCACGTAACATTGCTGGCAGGTTTAAGTGTACAAGTGTAGGAGGAATAAGGAGAGAGAAAAAGGGAGAGCATGGGGAAGAAAGACCACAGGCATGCAACAGCCTTCCTGACCTAGTGATTTATTTACGGTGCTCCTAGAGGGGAAGAAGCCACGCAAAGATCAGGAGCTTGCATGCTGCAGTAAGTGGTATGCTGGTGTATATTTAGCAAACAACAATACAAGGCACAAAATCTACAGAGGATGAGGAAATGCTTCCACTTCTTGTGAGGTCATTGGATTACTGGAGTCAAGGAATGGACAAATTTTATCTGGAGGAACAAGAAAGATTTCCCTTGCTGCTCTGTATACATAAATTACAGGAGGATTCTTGGTTTTGCTTCCTTGAGAGCCGGGGTGTTTCCTCTCTCAGTGCACACCTCCACCATGCTTCCCTCCTTGTTCAGCCACCTCATTCAAGGGCCTTTATATGGAATTCTGGATACTGACAGCCATCTCAGGTCTGTAAGAGGAAAGGCTCTGTTCACATTGAGATGCTCAGGAGATACGTTTCACAGCGAGCTGCTGTCTCCAGGGTAGGTGAACAATGGAAGGAGCATTGCAGAGAATAGCCCTCCAATATAGCACAAAAAGAGGCAGAATCTGTGTCAGCTGAAACCAGTCACAGCGCTCATCGGCCTGATGAATACTTGCACTGGCAGATGGGGATGTTTATGAAGTACAGTATTGCCTGAGGGAACTGCACAAAGATTAACTCTGAACTCACTGATAGGCCTGATTCTGGGAGGTGCTGAGTCCTTGCAGCCCCTGATGAAGAGCCCCTTACTGTGGCTACCATAAAGAGATGTTATCAAAGTGGTTCTTTGATTTGAACCAGAGCAAACCCTGGATTTCACCAGAATGGTGCAGGCACAAGTGGGACCTGCAGCAGCATAGACAGGGGGCTGCACTGTGCTGCGGGGAGGGCAGGGGGGAGCGTAGGGTATTCACCTGCATTCATCAGACCTTTCCCATCACAAAATACTGAGCTCTAAATGAGAGCACACCCTCACGTTAGAACGCTTGACTGCTGTATAAATTAGACCTCATTAGGAACAAGATCCTAAACAAAAGCCTGGGCTACCCCATTTTGTTTCTGAATTTACTTTCTGCTTCAGCTTTGGGATTTCAGGAGGAGGTAACCCTGGTGTGGCCTGAGGCTCCTGGAGATCTGTGGGGACACATGGCACAAAGACTCCCAGTTGCCTCCCCAGCTGTGCAAAGCTGAGGGTCTGGTGGCTTGAAGAAGGCTCAGAAGCATCAGCATTGACTTGACTTGAGGAGCTGGATTTAATTACTCCAGTGCTTGGACTTACTTCCCAATTAAATTTGTCTGTCATTCATAGATTCCTAGTGTGGAAAAAACTAATATCCATTTATATATGGGAATATAATAATCAATCAAGCTTTATCATTCCTATTTCCATTCTAGCAGCTTATAATCATGTAATAAAAGCACATA